TGTGCTCTTGCCGCTATGGAGGATTATGCGAGAAGGGATAGCGCAAATCCACTTATTGCACCCCTCTATAGGGCACCTGCGCCTCAGCAGTACCCCTAATTTTGGGAAACCCTAGCCCGTATATAACCCCTATATTAACGTATATAACCCCAATATAACCCCTATAGAACCCCTATAGAACCCCTCAGAACTCCTATAGAAACCCTATAGAACCCCTAAAGACTCCCTATATCATATCCCCTCAGCTGCTTTTTGCAAACGTAGCCCTGATGAATCTGGAGAGCAAGGCCGCACGGCATCGGAACTCCAGGGATGGGCACCAGGAGCTTTGGGCTTGAGGATTATATAGGGGTTATAATAGGGATATATAGGGGTTATATAGGGTTATATAGGGGTCATACAGGAGTTATATAGGGTTATATAGGGCTTATATAGGCTTAGGCTTCACCAATTATGTTTACCATGACCAGGGTTTGGGTGATGCGTATCAGGACACCTCAGGGCATTACAACTCCGCTGGGAATGGGCTCTGCAGGCCTTTGCTTCCTTGCAAGACTCAATCTCATTTGGTTCCCCATCCTTCTCTGGCCGTGGTAAATTACCAGCATCCCTCGACCCCAAACCCTAAACCTTGTGACCTCGATGCGCTCTCTGACTTGGTCCAGGCCAGGGCACTGGGACTGGAACCGGAACTCCTGGCATGGGGACGCCCGGTGCGGGTACTCCGATTGGGGGCATCGGCACTCCCGTGGGTGGTGGTGTTCACACGTGGGGACCCAAGAGTGTCGGGGTGCTGCAAGACCATGATGACAGGAGCGACTTGAAATCATTGACTTCCAAGGCCGGTAGGTGGCATTGCAACTCCGGTTGGTCTGCTCCCAAGCATGCTACAAGCATGACAGAGATAGTCAATTGCATTAAAGCAAGGTGGTATTGCGACACCAGTGGGTGGTATCGCTACGCCAGTAGGTGGTATTGCTGCTGGGCGGCAAAAGCATGTGCAAGAGATTCGGAGCTGCTTTCAATGGTTCTGGTGTGAGGCTACACCTGTTGGTGGAATCGCCACACCAGTTGGCCAGCACACGCCTGCTGGAATTGCTGATGGCTCATCTTGGTTTTCGCGCGTTTGGTTTGAAGGGCAAGTGGGCAGTGTAGGTTTCTCACAGCATGCAATGCATGGCGAGGCCACACCAGCAGGAGGAGTGTCCACGCCCACTGGCATTCCGGGTGGCATGGTTTGGTTCCCAGCTCTACCATCGTACAGCTGAAGCTGTAGCATCAGGAACGTAGCCGAGGCACCGACGCCTGTTGGTGGAGCAGACACGCCTGGCCCTGTCACCATGAATCTGAACCCAGAGCAGGCTTCAGCATTCTGCGTTCGAGGAGTTTGAGAAGACGGTGTAAGAGAGTAAGCCTTGGAGGTCGAGACAGAAGGTATTCTGACTGCCGACATCATTCGTGGGCTGCCTCATTGGGTCAAATGCCAGCCAGCAGTGACTGGGCAATGGATCCTTGGAAGGTCAGCAGCTCAAACAGCACGAGGAGGCTGCGGCGAAAGCAAAACTTGCAGCGGGCCAGAAGGAGGCAGGGAGGGGAAAGTTGCATAGTCTTTTCGCTTTCGCTGATTTACCACCACCGCCACTGCCGCCAGCGCCAGCGCC